TGGGCTTCAGTTTCCTTCTCTGAAAATTGGGTCATAGCAGCGGCCCCAGGCCACAGTGTGGCCGTGGTGAGAAGCACACTGTTTGTGAACAGTCAAGTGGGATAGAAGTGGCGGTGACGGAGATTACACACCTACTAGCCAAGGCCTCTGCCAGCCCCACCCGGGAAGGGGCCTAGGAAGAGAGAGCCAGGAAGGGGAGGAGGGCAGGGTCTACCATCAACATGGGCTTCCTGTCTGACTCACATGCTGGGGGTGGGGTGGGGGCCAGCTTGGAACCCATTGTCAGCTTGGTGAGCCCCTCTGGGTAGAGCTAATGGGCAGGGGGTCCTGGGGGAGAGGGTTGGTCATGCTTCCCCACAGGTGGTGGTGGGGACTCCACCTGCAGCCTTAGGGTATAGCATAACTCTAGGGTGGGGTGTGATGAGAGTGAGTGCTGCTCTCTGTGCCCGTCATTGTGTGTGTGTGTGTGTGTGTGTGTGACCTGAGGGGCACGGCATCAATGCACGGAGTGCGTGTGCTGGGCAGTGGTGTGCACGTCTTCTCTCTGCCTTCGTGGGGTCTGTGGGTGTCTGTGGGGTATGTGTAGAATGTATGGGTGGGTATGTGGGGGGGGTCTGGTGTGCTTTTAGGGGCACAGTGAGTATGCTTGCAAATGTGTCTCTGTGGGGTGTGTGGACCATATACGCATGGCAGGGTGTCAACACACAATGTGTGTGTGAGGGGAATAGTGTGTTTATGTGAGTGTGTTTCTCTGGGGTATGTGGACAGAGGGCGAGTGTGTGTGTGTGTGTGTGGATGGGAGGGTGTGGGGTGCATGGATGTGTGTGTGTGTTTCGAACCTGTAGAGGGTGGGTAGCATGTATGTTTATGTGTGTGCATCTATGTGAGGAGCATGTGTACACATGTGAGTGTATGTTTCTCTGGGGCGTGAAGCTGGATGCTCGAGTGTACTGGAAGGAGTGCACTGCGTGCTGGCCGGGGTACAGTGAGTGTTGTGTGAGTGGGAGGGTGTGTGTATGCGTGTGTGCCTGTACAAGGTGTGCGGTGTATGACTGTGCGGGGGCGCTGTATAGTGCCTCCTGTGTGTGGGTGTGTGTGAGTGTGGGATCCGGGCGGCCGCGGACTGGGGCCGCCCCGGAGGGGGAGGCGTCTGCCCTGCGCTACTCGCCGGAGTGTCCAGGCTCGGGCGCCTTCAGCCGGGAGGTGCGGGAGGCGCGGAGCC